CCGAGGCGCCGGCCGGGGGCCCAGCCGCCCCCCCCCCCGGGCCCCGACCTCATCCCCTTCGGGGCCACTGGCCCGCCACGTCGGGAGCCCGAAGCGCCGCCGCCTCCTGTACCCCCCAAGTCCGAGGCGGTGAGTGGCACGCTCGACGGGAGAAGGGAGCGAGCCTGGAGGCCGAGCACTGTGGGCTCTGCCCTCCGGGAAACCTTTGAAGCAGCCCAACTCCTGGATCCCCCTGGAGTGTGCGACAGACGGTGGCAGAGGGAGGAGAGAAGAAAAGGGCAGAGGCACACGGGCTAGAGATCCCAGGGGCGGAGGCATGGGGGGTTGGGGGACCAAGATGCCAGCCGGCTCCTAGCCTGAGGGATTTGGGATGAGCCTACACACAGTGTTATCTAGAAGGTTCCACAGAACCGGAGTCCTTTAAGTTGTCCGATAAAAACAATTCGATGATGACTACGTTTAGGAAGTGTGTCTGGTCCCCAGCCCTGCCCCTTCCTCCTCACTGTGGCCGCTCAGGCCTGTGGGATGAGAGGCTCGGGGAAGTCCTGCACGGAGGAAAGCCGTTTATCTGTGTTTAACGCAGAATTTCCCAAATGTATTTGGCCATGGAACATTCCCCCTGTCCGTACACCTATTAACACCCTGTGGGTCCCCTTGGGGTTCTTGCCCTGTAAGGAAGGGAACCAGATGGCCCATACCTTCCCTCCCCTCTGTCCCCTCTGCCACTCCTTTCCCTCTTCTTTCTCCTTTTCCAGGAGGGAGTACGTGTGGTTGTGTTCTTCTTACTTCATGATGGATTTGCAAGGGGATGGGAGTCTGTTATGGGCTGGGCTGGGGGTGAGAGGCCAGAGGGGTGGGGCTTGAGGTTGGCTGGGTGAGCAATGGGGTGTAGGGCAAGGGCACATGAGGCAAAGACACCTCTTGGCTAAGGTGCTTGGGACAGGGAAGATAGGCCTGTCCCCTGACAGGGGCGGAGTGGAGTCATGGCCCTCTGCTTACAGGTTAAGGAAGAGTGCCGCCTGCTCAACGCCCCTCCAGTTCCCCCCCGGGGTGGCAATGGCAGTGGCCGGCTCTCGGGCAGCCCCCCGGTGCCCCCGCGCTTCCCCAGGCTGCAGCCTGTCCACTCCCCCAGCTCCAGCCTCTCCTACTACTCCTCTGGCCTCCAGGATGGGTGAGTCCTTTCTCTTGGTCCTGGGTTCTCCTCAGGTGGAGCGGGTCGGAGCTGCAGGTCCCTGTGCAGTAGCTGAGGAGAGGGCCCTGCTGCTGGGCCCCAGGGCCCAGCGCCCTGCTCTGCCACCTTCTGCTCCAGCCTGCTCCTTTCTGAAAGGCTGGGGATCAGAAGGAAGCATTGCACTGGTTCCCTCCACACTGGGTCTCGAGAGCCACAGGGTAGAAAGCACCTTGCTGTTTTTCCATTTTTGCTTAATTAGTCTAGGTAATGTTCTTGTGCTTTCTGACCTGAGTTGGGGTGTGCTGGAAAGAACAGGGCAATCCCAGGGGGCTCAGGCCTTGGGGCTGGGGGGTCAGGTGGGGCTGAGATCAGGGGTTTGCTGCCTGGTGTGCGTGGCCCTGGCACCTCCCTCTTGCTCAGCCTCACTGTCTTGTTCTGTGTGTGTCTCTGCCCGCAGGGCGGGTTCCCGCAGTGGCAGTGGCTCCCCGTCACCGGATGCATACTCCCTCTACTGCTACCCGTGCACCTGGGGAGACTGTAAGGTGGGCGAGTCCTCTAGCCGCCCAACCCCAGGACCCTTGCCCTCTACCACGCAGCCCAGCCAGTCCTCACGGGGCCTCGCAGAGCCCCTGAGCAGTCGTACTGCCTCCCTTTTGGGGGCCGACACCCCCATGAAGACCTACCACAGCTGCCCACCTCTGTTCAAGCCCTCTCACCCCCAGAAACGCTTTGCTCCATTTGGAGCTCTCAACCCCTTCTCGGGCCCTGCCTATGCCTCAGGCCCTTCAGTGGCCTCCTCTTCCGGGCCCAGCACCACCCCGGGTGCCCTGGCTACCTCCAGCCCTGCGTATTCCCCGGGCCCGGTTTCACCAGGCCAGGCTTATTCCACTGCTGCCCCCTCCTCCTGCGTCCCCTCCTCCTCCTCTTCCTCTGAGTGGCAGGAGCCAGCCCTGGAGCCCTTTGACCCCTTTGAACTGGGGCAGGGCAGCTCTCCAGAGCCTGAGCTGCTGCACTGTCAGGAGCCCCGAGCTGCAGGGGCGTCGGGACCCCGCCTTTCACCGCTCGGTCCCCCCAAGGCCTTTGATCCTGAAGCTTTGGTGCTGCGGCAGGTCCCCACCCCACTGTCACCAACTGCCCTGCAAGGGCCTGAGGCAGGAGGAGCACGACTTTTTCTCACCCAAGGGCGCCTGGAAGTGCCTCCTGCCAGTCCCCGGGATGGAGCCACAGGCTTTGGAGGCCGGGATACCTCCTGGCAGCCACCCGCTGACCTGTCTGCCCTCTCCCTGGAGGAGGTCTCCCGCAGTCTGCGCTTCATTGGGCTCTCGGAGGACGTGGTGAGCTTCTTTGCCCGAGAACGCATTGATGGCAGCATCTTTGTGCAGCTCAGTGAGGACATCCTGGCAGACGACTTCCACCTCACCAAGCTGCAGGTCAAGAAGATCATGCAGTTCATCAAAGGCTGGCGGCCCAAGATCTAAACTGCCCAGCCCGGAGCCACCCACCCAGAACACTGGCTGAGCCTTGGGGACCTGCCATGGCTCTCCCAGGTGACCGACCCTGGGGGAGCAGGTCCTGCCTGCTGGAGGATCTGCCAAGATAGCTCCACAGCTCCTCAGGGTGAATCCAGGGGAGACACGTGTGGAAATGCCATCCCCGGGGTCTGCCCCTGCCTGGATGTCTTACCTCTGTGCGTGCAGCCTGAGTGTGCACTCGGGGAGGGGCTGGAGCCACCACCTGCACCTGGGCCCAGTGAAGCACTCGTGGTGACTCCCGGGGAGTCAGTAGCGGGCCTTTGCGGTGACCTAACACCTGCCCTTAGCGTTACGGACCTTCCCAACACCTTGCACTTCTCCAGCTGGTAGGTTCAGGTTAGACACAGGGACGACAGCCCATAATTTAAGCTCAGATTTCCCCAAGGGCCCTCTCCTTCGTGTCCTGTGCACTTTTGGCCTAAAACTGCCCCAGAGTCAGGGCTCTTCATACCTGGATCTCTAGGGTGCCTTTCCTTTCTCCTCTGCTCTGCTGTGATCTAGGGGCCTGGCCCGGAGCACAGGGGAATCCTATGAGCCTGAGCCACAGCACCTGCGGCTCCACCTGTGGGTCTGGCTCGCAGCTGACTATGCTGAAGACAGTGCCCTGCTACCACCTGCCCACCTGGTCAAAGAGGCAGATGCTCCCGGACCACTAGGCTCTGAGCTCAGTGCAGTCGGGGTTTGG